GCCGAGTCACAAACAGATGTGCAGTCGCAGATGCCTTTGGTGTCTCCCAAGTGAGCTCACAGAACGGACCGAACTTGTTGGGATCCATGAGTTCCATGATTTTCCGCTGTTGCAGCAATACCGCGAGTGCCTTCCAAGTCTGCAGTGTTTCACCATGCTACCCTTTCGGTAGACACGAATACAGATACATACATACGTATACGTATATATGTATATATATACATATATTATAATATATATATATATATTATATATATAATGTATATATATATGATATATAATATAATATTATATATATAGTACAAAGGCATTTTGTGGTCGCCACATGAGTGACGGGGTCTTCAGACACAACGAGAATGCTTCTGAGTCTAACACAAATCTTGGATTTCTGTCACCTCGACAGATACCTTGAGCGTGCGTAAGTTTGATGGTTTGTTATCAAGCGAGGTACGTGAAGATACTCGCGGAGATCTTGGAATGCGAACTAGTGGCTTGGTGAGGGAGACATAGGGAGTCTCGAAGATGAATATAGACGGGAAATGCACCCACTAGAATCACTAATGTGTCAGGGACATCTTCAATTGGAAACAATTTCATCAAGTGAAAAGTGCTATCAAGGGTACACCAGGTGGGCATCAAGATGGCGATAGCATGCTGCCCAGGATTTTTCTGAAAATGACGAGCCCCCGGGAACCATGTCAACACGCAGGTAACGGAGCCTTTTATGGTGCGCACCCTGAAGACCTTTTTGAAGGCGCAATGCGGCTGATTTGGTGAGCTGCATCATATCATATCCATCATCTACTCTACTTTGATCTACTTTGGGAAGGTCTCAAGACATGAGAATAGGATGAATCGTGGCAGAATCGTTGCAGCTGAGCTTTTTTCGCTCTACGAAGCTGCCCCAGGCATTTTCGCAGATGTACCACGATGGCGAGCTGGACACACAAGAGGCCACTCGATTGCTCCGGTGCAGCGTTTGAGTGGAGATGGGGTACCTGAAACATTCCAAAAAGATCCGAAAAGATATCTCCACTGGGGATATCTGGACATATCTGGACATGGGAAACATATGGAAACATTCCAGAAACTGTTGGCTCCGGTTCGACCATCCCCCGAACTGATGCAAGAATTCCACGGATTTCACACACTGTGCATGGCTTGCAGGGCTGATCATTTTTCAGCGTTATGTCAAGTGATGTCAAGTGTTTCAACGCATGTTGTTCAAGAATGTTCAGGACAAAGTCGGACAAAGTCGGACAAAGTCGGACAAAGTCGGACAAAGATGATAAAGATGTCAAGTTTCAAATTTCTCAGGTCATCTACTGCCTGGACATCGTGAAAAACGAACGGGCGAAAGCATCCGTGGCCCCTGGGCCGCCGTAGACCCAAGGTTTACCCAAATCCCCAGGTTCAGAAACAACGACGGGGAGCAGTTGGGAAATTTGGGAATCTCCAGATTGCTGGGATCAGTGATGATCAGGCGAAACAGTTGGGCATCGACGATGTGGACATCGATGACCTCGGTGGACAAGGGCAGATGTGCCCTGCCAATTAGCAAAAATTACCAAAAGGCGCATGAAAGGCAGAATAGGCAGATGATGATCAGATGATAATCAAATTATCACAGTGTGACTCAGTGTGACAGATGAATGCCGGGCAGATGCCAATTCTGTGATTCTGCGGCAATTCTGCGCATCTCATTTTTCAGCTCACCACGTAGATGTCAGGATGTCAGAAAACGAAGCCTTCCTGAAGCCTTCCTCGCGCACCATTCGAGCTTGGCTCAAGAGTATGAAGAAGGCACAACCAAACAAGCAAGATCAGCCACATCAGTCACGAGCCCCAGAATTATTATCTTCTTAGCCACCTCACATTCCAAAGTTGAACATGTTGTCCTTGTCAGTTCACAAGACCCAGCTTTAGTGTTTAACCCGTTGGTGAAATCGCAGAGTATCTCAGCTCAGCTCCTTGGCACGTTTAGCTGAATGATTCCCCCATCACAAGCAAGTCACCCTGAGGCAGAAGGGCATGGAACTACACCAGCTCTCCAACTTGTAATAGGAAATACATGGAAATACGATCTTTTCAGAGACCCGCAGAAGATACAAGCAGAAAAGTGACCGTCCAAGCTTTGTCCCCAAACAATTCCCCCCAAAAAAGCCTGTTGAAGCTTGAAGCTGCACTCAAGCTGTTGCAGTCTTTGCAGTAATTGTTGCAGTATTTCTTAATTGTCCCTGGATTTTGTGGCCGCCCTGTGCGACGGCATAGCCACCCTGTTTTTGGCCATCGGTGAATGGAGGATGGTGCGGGGCTCTGGGGGCTCTGGGGGCTTTGGTTCTTGTGTTGTACATGGCACACAAAGCAAAATTTTCATGTTCCTGATGTATTTTGTGTTGGGTATTGGTTGGGAGTCGCCCAGCAGGCTTTCAGAGATTCCTTTTCACACGCATCCTACTCCTTCATGTTTCGTCAACCTCAAAATGTCATAATTCAGTCGTGTTTCAGAATGGTTTTGAAGCAAAGAAATGTGGACCTTAATCACCTGAGGCCAAAGTAATCCAGCTACGAACTCCTCTACCAGTACGTCGGGGTCTCAGAGTTAACTGAGTTTGATGTCGTGCTGAGCTGAGTCTGTTCCTACCACAGATGGCAGCGAATTCAGTGAGTCCAAAGGCCTTTCAGATTGGAAATGAGTCAACGAATATCAGAATATATCAGAATATCGAACGTTTCGAATAAAATGACAAAGAATGAAAGGGCCTGAAAGGGCATGAACTTGGCCACTTTTCATGAACATCTTGGAACGTCTTGGTCGCTCTTGAAAAATCTCTCATCCTGAGGCCCAACACCAGCACAGCTGTGCCGGGCGTCACGTTCAGCGTGGAGGATATCTCCTACGACCACAGGCGACGCAATGTGCTTCAAAGCAGATATACACGGGATACACGGGATACACGGTAACCTGATAGGATCTAACGGATCTGATAGGATCTGATAGGATCTGATAGGATCTGATAGGATCTGATGGGCTGCTACCTTGGTGGCCTTTCTCTGATGGTGACTCGTAAGGTAGCTTGTGAAATGCTTGTTTTGCTTGAGCTCCGGCATCCCGCTTTCCATGGAATTCCATGCATGAATTCCAGTTCCAGCTTCATATGATCCATGGAACCAGTGCCTCGGTGCATCTCGGTGCTGTGCACTCCGTGAAGGTTTGAGGCCGACCCTCAGAGCCGGAACTTGCCAGACCTGAGGTGCGCAAGATCTCAGACCGTGGAACTCTGAACAGGGAAGAATTATGAAAAAAATTGGGAACAGCTGCACACCCAACCTGAACATCATAGAACATCATAGAACAATCCGACCTTTTTTTCTGTCTCGTGCGTAGATTCTTGAAGCTTTGGGGTTGGAACTGAGAATTGAATTGCTGGTTGTCATCATGTCCTCTTAGTGACCGACTTCATTTATTTGGTACTTTTGTTGGTTGAAGAATCTGCCTTTGTTGGAGAATCTCTAAACAGCTGGTGGTACTTTGGACCTTTCCCATTCTGAACGCTGTCAGGAGTCCAGAGGCTGGGGGGGAGGTGATGGCGAAAAATCCACCATCCTCTGGACATTGGACATGGCACCATATTATCCCTATGAAAGATTGGATATGTGATATGTGTATGTATATGTATATGTCTATATATATATATATACATGTTACATGACATGATACATACATCCATACATCCATACATCCATCCGTCAATCCATACATACATACATCCATCCATCCATGCATCCATCCATCCATCCATCCATACATACATGTTGGTGGACCAAAGATCCCTTCACCGCTGCCAGGACGATTCTGGCATTGAAACAGACGATTTCTTCCTCAGTGCCTAGCCTCAGTGACTTCCACCGAGTTGGTTGATATTACAGGCCTTAGGGGGAGAGGAACAATGCTGAACATCTGAAGAAAAGATCTGGAATTTACAAAATGTTTCGTCTTTTTGGGGGAAAAAGTTGTTCATCCAATTCGTTCCAGTCTAATCACCAACAGTTTATGCATTCCAACGAGGTTGGGGAGGTTTGGTCGCCCTGGGTGGTGTGCTGTTGGCCGGATACCCAGTGGGAGATGCTTCAAATAGCTTCAAATATCTTCAAATCTTCAGTTCCTTCGTTCGATCACCATGACTCTGAACATGTTTGAATATATTAAAAAAACATGTTTGATGAACTGTGAGGTGATTGATAGTGATGAAAAGTTACAGCCAAGCTGATTGGAATGCTCTTAGGCTGGTGGCCTTTGGCGCTTGCGCCGGCGGCGACGGGTGCAGCCACGAGAGCCACAAGTTTTAGGCAGCCGCGGGAGCCGGAGACACTGAGACACCAGATGGCATGTCTTTGCTCCCAAATTTACAACATACAAAGTGATACAATTTCATGTGAGTGATATCGAAAGTACTATCAATCTTTTGCCGATCTACTGATCAAGCATCGATCTGGAAAGATCGATCAAAGGAGATTCTTGAGTTGGATGCATTGGATACGTTGAACCTTCATTGAACTCATTCGCCCCCTTCGATGGCGCTCAGACGCAGGCCGGCTCCTGGAAGAGGTCGAAGAGCAAGAGCTGCCCGGCATCGACGTATCGACGCCAACCATCTTTCACGAATCTTTCACCATTTTAAACTACTCAACCGATAGCCGCAACAGCATGCAACAGCAGCATGCACAAGAAATGCATCAATTCAGCCCAATTCAGGTATCGAATACGTGTCCAATATATGTCCAGAATGCTTCCATATCAAGCTAATTTTACAGGTTGTGACGCTTTGATGGTTCGCACAGACCTGCATATGGCCGGATATGCCAAAGAGATTGTCCTCGCTCTTGTGCCTACGGTTGTGACCCAGGGTATGGACAACATTCTTGGTCTTTCGCAGCCTTTTCAGTCTCAATCTCTTTTGTAAACAGCGCTCAGCGGCGTTGGGAACGTCTTCAGAGCCATGACACGGTGGTTCCGTAGCTTTTTCCTCGCAGCCGTCCTTGCTGTAATCCCATCAGTCGCTGAGATCCCCGATATAGAAGAGTGTGAGGACAGCAAGTCGCATAAGTCGCTTGAATATCCTGAATGAATCTGAATGATTGAATGCCAGAGCGGCAGTTCATGGACTTGCTGTGAGCCGTGACTTGCAACATCTTGCAACATCTTGCAACCTTGTTGAGAAAGAAATCTGTTTGGTACTCACACCCAGCAGGTGCAGGTCCTTCAAGGCTTTAGCAACACTCTCGACAGTCTTGCTTTTGGTACACAGACCTTACAGATCAATACAGATCAGTCAAACAAGTCAAACAAGTCAAACAACCATCTCGAGCCAGGGACAGTCTGAACCAGTCAGAACTTCTAAATTTAGCTAGATTCGTTAGATGTAAGAGGCTGAGATGAAATCAGTTCGTAGTTTGTTGTACCATGTTGTACCATGTTGTACCGCAATGTACAAAATATCCGGGACCTCACCGGTTGAGTCATGTTGCGCTGTGTTGCGACCAGGATCCAGCCTTGCAGTTGAGTCAGCTCCGTGCTACCGCGAAATCCACAGAGGCGAAGGAGCCCAATGAGACGCTTGGCATCGCCTGGCCTTGGTATGGCCTTTGTACACCGGCTTGAAGATTCCCACGTCAGAAGATCTATTTCGCATTGCAATCTCTGTAATGTGGTAACGCTGTCTTCTGTTTAAATCCATTCTCGGATTTTTGGCAACTCAACAGATATGATGAAAAACACCACCATTCGACATGGCCATGAATGTAGGAAAAACCGGATTGATTGATAGGCCCTAGGCAAGACGAGATCATCAGTGAATCAGACCTGTTTAGGCCATTGTCAATTACCTTTCGTTTGAGATATCGTGAAACGTCTGCAACTTAGTCTAATGCTGCCATCAGAAAAGACAACTGCCATCATAGAAGGCATCATTTTAATTTGGTATTAAAGTGTTATTCATTGTTATTCTGTTTATTTCTAAATCAGCTATAATCAGCTATCGCGACTTCTTAGCCATGCAGGTAACAGATTGAACTCGGAAGGTTTTAGAAATTCCTTCCAGAGATTGCCTTTGAAATGTTCATGAAAACATATGAAAACCGGGAAATCTGGTTTAGTCCTACTTGGCCAGATCGTTGGGATAATGGTGGGAGGACCCGAGATGATCAAAAGATATCTTTAAAAAAAAACAAAAAGCGCATGTTGGTCGATGCCCTGGTTTGCATCTCTACACCTCAGGACACAGTCGACTCTGTCGGAGGATGATATTTTGGAGGCCTTCATGGCAGCTCAACCAGACTACAACGACACCGAAGCCTCCGACTCGTCCCTGCCGACCTTGAAATCCGGTGGTCACCACGGCATCCGGCATCTGGGCCGAGGACATTTCTTGAGGCTGAGAATCTCATGTCTAATTAATGAATCTAATATATATATATATTAAATATATATATATATGTATATTAATGTTATCTTTATCTAATGTTATTTGATGTTATTTGATGTTTCTGTTGCCATTCTGTCCAAATTCCCCAAGGCATGCAGGAAACATCCGGACCCTGTACCATCAGACCAGCAGCTGGGCCGGAGACCAAATCCTCAAGAATGGCACCTCGACATATTGGACTGGCGACCAAGAGACAGGGTGCTTCAAGAGATGGGAAATGATGGGAAATGATGGGAATGGCATAACGGGCACCACTGCGCAGAGGTTCAAGTTGTGCCTAATGTTTGCACCAAGATGTCTTCTTTTTTGCCTTATGGATTTGTTGCCACTGTTCTGACCAGATTTGGGGTGGCAGAACTTATGTGTCTACTTTCCAGAATGTCATACAAGGCAAAAGCAACAGCAACAGGATCCAGTGGCGAATCCTTGTCGTCAAAGACCTGGCAAGTCGATGCCAGGCGATGCCAGGTGATGCCAGGTGTTAGGTGCACGGTGTCATGACTGCGGGCTTCGAGGTGCCGATCAGTTCCAAAATGACCCAAGCCTTGACCCAAGCTACCGGCACCGCTCAGTGCCTCTCAGTGCCTCTCAGTGCCTCTCAGTGCTCAGGCTTCCGCCGCGGCCACATTGGCTTTTGCGGCGGCGGAATCTACTTTGCCTTGAGCCCACAGGCACAGCATCAATGCATGATGAAAAGAAATCAAAAAGGATCATCGCAACTCTTTCCCTTCATTTTTGATCCTTAGAGAGTCTGTGGATCACATCTTTTTGTCAGAACACGTCTCGGCAGACTGCATACGGGTAGATCCCTTCATGAATCCATACCGCCTTACACCAATGAAGAACCTCATGGCAGTCCACATCGTGAAAGCAATGTTTTTTTTTTGCAACGGCCTTTTTCTGGGGTACAGTATGCATTGAGGATATTTGAGGCTGAAAAGCATCAGTGTTCCATGTCCGAATCAATCGCCATGGACAAGCCAGAAGAACTAAGAAAAAAAGAACTAAAAAGTACATGAGGATACATGAGGATTTGCAGATTGAATCATACATATGTAATCATATGTGTATATATATATATGTATGTGTAAATCATGTTTGAATGACCGTGCTGGAAACTCTGTGCCTTTTGCAAAAACCTTGAGGCCACCTACGGAAAAGCCGTGGGCGTCGACTCCAACCATGGATTCATCATTGAGGCCAGGTGATAAGGTGATATTTGGAAACATGAAGAAACAAATATAGAAATGTACAGTGATATACAGTGCAATGTGTAGTTTCACTTTTGAGTTCTTTCCACAAAAATGGACCAGGCTCGAACTCACCACTCCCGCTAGCATGAATGATGTGACTGTATCACCCGTTTGGAATTAATTTGCCCAGCTTGTTAAGCAGAAATGAGAAATCTCAACCCAATCAGCAACGATGATGGAAGTGTGGAAGTCAGAGTGAGTCACCATATGTCTCCATGCGTTGCAGATGAAGATAGATGAAGATATGAAGATAGATGATGTCACCGTGTGTTGCTGTGTTGCAGCCTCGTTATGCATCAAACTGCACAGGCCCGAGTAGATCTGGGCCGAGTCCACACCAAGGGCTTCACCTGCACCACATCGGTGAGCTGTTGGGCCAAGCCGCTGAAGCAGACCATTCAGTGCTTGGACCGAGGTTTTCACGGTGGTCATTGGCAAAATGAAGGATATGACTCGATCCTCTTCAACCCAGGCGATGGAGGTGACCAGGCCAGCATTTCATTTTCTTAAATTTTCATATGTCAAATATGTCAAATATGTCAAGTACCTAATACGTATGTCATGTGATGTCATGTATGTCACGTAATCTGGAAGAATGACTTCTGAAGGCATTTTTGGCGTGAAGCCACCAATCGTTTGAATGGCAAACGAGGTGAATACATGATTTGGGACAAGAACCGCGTGTTGAGTATGCGCCGTGTGTGAGCCAGTGAGCAGTGGCTGATTCAACTGACAAGCAGTGGCCATCCCAAGAAAAAAAGGCGTTTGTGCCTGGGGCTGGATGCATGTTCGCTATGTTCGTTCAGCCACTGAATGTTTCTTCTTCGGGACCTGTAGCGGTTTGGAAACAGTCGAGATGGATTTGGGTTCAATGCAGTGAGGGTCAAAATCCTGATGATCTATTAGGAATCAGATCTTAGCCTCACTGGTCTCATTTCTGGACTTTTGCCTTCCCAGGCGATCTTCCAGTCTTATGAGTATCTCATGAATACTGAATTAAATAATATTAAATACATTATGAGTAACTTATGAATCTTGTCCTCTTTTGATGTCCTTTGCTCCACTTCGTGTTCTCTGCACCAAGGCTTGTCCCGGCCACATCCAATGGATATGCCTTGGGCTGATAATGACAGAGCTTGGTCGGTTGAGGACACTGCCGGCCTTAACGTGGTTTGCGCGAGAAAATTCTAAGCCCAAGGGCAGATTGAAATAAGAATGGTCAGCATGGCAGCATGGTTCTATATTGTTCTGTGGAAAATCCTATCCTTGTAGTATTTGCATAGCAGATCCAAGAAAGGATGGCATGGTCACAAAAATCAAAGAAATATGATGCAATATGGCATTTTCACGACGTCCCTCTTGAACTATCAGTGATCCTCAGTCGCCGTGGGCGAAGCCCATTGTTAACAGCCAGCATGCAGCGTTATGCAACGGTCGACGTACAGTTCACCGCCGGGTTGCACCCACAGCTTGCGACAAAACGATCAAAAGAGGGCACCACTTGACAGGAAACAGCCACAATTCTATTTGCCAGCCTCCTGAAGGAATTCCCAGTTTGGGTTTGCAAAATCAGACCGAGCCAGGTAAATATCTATTCAATTCTATGCATTCAAGTCTATTGAAAAAGTTACGGATTTTTTCTGGATGGTTCACACCAAGGCCCTCTACGCATGTCTGCCCCTATCTGTTCTTTGGGCCAATTGCCACGAGGAAATGACTAAGACATACTAAGACGTTCATTTGAGAACAGTGGAGCGATGCACGTCTTTGCAACACGTTGCCGAGCATGTTATTTTCTCGGGAGGTACTGTGTAGAGTGCCTTCACACCGAAGCAAATGTGGCCCATTTGTATTGCACCTTGGCTAACTTTGAAGATTGAACCGCTGTTTCCACCTGAATCGCAGTTCTGGAAGTTGCCCTACGAAAGTTGAAAGATGTTTTTTGTGGAGGGAAATCGGTTTAGCATGTTTTAGCTATTCGTTTTCATTGGGTTTTAGCTATTCGATGCTATTCTGGATGCTATTCTGAAGTTCTGCGAATTGGCAAAGATTGGCTCCGATTTCACGGTGTACCGAGCATACTGAGCTCCTGGCGCCCTGGCGCCACTGAGGCCCCGAATGTGGAGACAGCCTTTGTCAGAGATCCCAGAATGTGACCAGTCACATCACGAGTCCACACTCCTCAAATATCTCAAATGTTCCCAATTTCGAACGATTGACTGGAGCTCAGTGAGTCACATCTGAATACTGAATGTACAGTTTAACATGTTTCCTTCATGCACTCAGCAGACTTGTCAGACGTAAAACCACTGCCCAACAAATGTGAAATCTGTTAAAAGAACCATAGAACCATGTTTTAGTTCGTGTCCGTCGTGTCCGTGATTCTGGTACTTTGTAACTTCAAAGTTCTTGAGACAGACATCCTCGAGTGAATCACCAGGCCCGGCGCATGAGGTCTGAATTGCTTCGAAAAACTGCATGCCAAGGGGCACCGTCTGAAGCTAAGCGGGCGCTGGCAGGTTTGCTGGAAGCATGGAACGCCCAAGTCGCTTCAAGTACCGGGTTTGGTCAAGTCTTGAGAATTTGAAATCCAATATTATGCTAGCTGCTAGACTATAATTGGAGTGTCTTGCAGCACCAGCAGCTAGAGCATCAGCAGCATTCACGAAGAATTCCTTACCCTAATAGAATTGGAGATGCTTATCACCAACCTCTCGTGATTGGCTTGACAAAAAGCTCTGCTTCTTTGATAAGTGAGAAAAGTGTTCAGCCCTGAATCGTCATCGAATCGTCATCGAATCGTCATCTTGGTTTAGATTGGATTTGCATTGGATTCCCATTGGATTCCCAGAATCTTGCTCTACCAAGGTGCGACCCACGAGCCCAATCACTTCATCCTGTGCGTGATGTGCAAGGTCGAAATCAAGCCCAGCCGGGCCAGCTGGGTCAGGGGTCCGGTCACAACAGCAACGACACGCAACGGATTGGTCTAGACTAAATCGTTCCGATCGCCACCAGGTGATGCCTGCAAAGCTTCAGTGCACCTACACCAGGGGGAAGTATTGTAGCGATTGCTACCACAGGAAACATGTTCGGAGACCCACAGTGCTGCAGAGCTTTTACTCTGATTCCACTGGCTTAGTGCTTGATGTTTTGCCTTCATCCACCATGCGTGTAGGTTGCCCGCTTGTCATGAAGCGCTGTTCATTCACCATCAGTACATGGCTTTCCGCGAAGTGCCCATAGCGAGATCTCAAATCTCCCCGATATTTTGGCAGCAACCCTCAGCCTAGGCCAAGACACTGCCGAAGTTCTTGGATTTGAAACCTTTGAAGTCCCGAATCTCAGATTGGGTAGTCAGGAATTGGCAGTTTCGGGACAGCAGAGCATTCTAAGCGGTGCAGAAGTTCAGGGCAAGAACTTTGTTGGTTTCGGTGAATTGCTCGTTGTTTTAATATCTCACGATCTTCTCACAACCTCAAAATGGAGTTGCAGCAGCTTCTATCCGTCTCAGGATCGATTACAAGCGTTCAGCCAAGTTGGAACGAGAAGAAAAGGCAAGAAAAGAAGGCGAATCAATGGACATGCCATAGAACAGAATCTGAGCGTTGGACGGTGCTGGATCATGTTGGACCATGACATGTGCCGAGTCTCTTTCCTGTGCATGGCTGTGAGACCATCGAGACCTTCGACGGATGCATCAATGTATTCTTGCATACTTCCTTGCATGGGAAAGAATCGGGAAAAAAATGAATCGGAAATTATTCCGGGCTCAAATTTTCACTGGAAAACTAAAAGAGGGGAATGTACCAGTAGGCAATGGTAGATATGAAGCTGGATTCTAGCTGAATTGCTAGAAAGTTTGAAGCCAATTTCGATCAAGATGATGTCTTGGCCAGGAAAGCAGCTTGAATCACCTTTGACCATCATAGACCCAGAGGTGAGCCGGAGGGGACTACGACAGACATGTGGGAAACATTGGGAAACAATATGTGCTCAAAGTGCCATATGAAAAAATCGGAACTTTGAGCACTTTGGGCGAGGCAAAGGAGACCTTCTCCAAACCTGCACCGCTGGAGACCACCCTAGGAGAGAAATGGTCGGGACATCTCAGAGGAAGTGCTGGTGTTTGAAAATGAGTGGAAAGGGGGTCTGCAAGTGGCAGGTCAAAGTGACTTTGGAATTGTTTTTGACCTAAGGATTTTCTGTTGATGCCATTTTTTGAGTTGATGCTGACACAGAAATCAATGTGCGGTGAATCTCTCTATTGGAAAGCTCCACATCCTGAAGCAATACATAGAATCCCTCATACCATGCCAGGTTCAGAACAGGTTAGTCAGACTGAGCTTGGGCATCCAAAAGTGGTTTCCGACTACGTTGGTTCCCTTCCGGAGGTCAGTGTTGTCAGATGTCGTGATGTCGTCAGGCATGCTTTTTATGATCTTCGCGGAGTGAAATACTACTACAACTTTGAGACGCAGGACTTGAAGCCGTGCCGTCGAGACTCTAATTGATCAGTCACTGATGGTAACTCGGCAACTTTGACAACGTGGAGGTATCAAACTCAGAAAAAGAAAGCCCCCATGGAGAGAGGTAGAATAGGTAGAAGGAGAGAAGGAGAACCATCCCATAGGACCTGAATCACAAAAAGAAAACATTGAAATTTTCAAGAAAACATTCCATTGAAAAATTAGTTGACTTCCCTTCGCATTCTGTCCGCATTCTGTCAGGAGTCCATGAGACGGCCACAAGATGACCTGGTGATTCAAGAGGCGAGCTGGGCGAGCTGCAAGACTCTGCAAGACTCTGCACTCTGCAAGACAAGTGTCGAGACACAAGACAAGTTCAGATCGTTTCGGCGAAGTCCGAAGCAGTCCCTGACTCCAACCTGTCTCCAACCAATTTGAAATAGTCTGAGTACTAAAGGACCTGTATTTCTTTGATTCTTTGTTCATTTATGTTCATGATTCACGAATTTCACCATCACTTCTGTTTCAACGTGCCCGATCGCTATCGATCACCGTTGCCACCATTCTCCGTGTCCCTTTCACATCTCTAACGTTGCCGTCCAGGAGCCGGAGGACACCGCCTTCGCCGCCCAGCGGAAAGAGATTTTGATGAAGATGGCTTTGTCCAAGGCGCGTTTCGTATTCGTGCGCTTCGCCTGACCTTCGCCTGACCCCAGGATGCCAGAGAATATGTAGAGAAGATGTAGAGAATATGCGTTTGCCACGAATTTAGATTCATTGGCTACAGAAAGACTGAAACACATTCTGCAGTTGATTCAATCAGCTGTTCTTGCGGTTTGAAAATAGCCCCTCTGCGGGTGATGGTTTTTGACCCTCTGTGATAGCTGGGGATGATGCCAGATGGGACGAATTGCCATCATCATGATACTTGGAATTACGGGAAATCCTGACTCATTGCAAAGCATTGATGACGGGACATGAGATAGAACAGGAGCTGCATTTCTTGGACTTGTTGCACTATGTTGTACCATGTTGCACCATGTTGCACTAGATGTTCAGTCAGATGTGACAAGACCACCCTCCGCAGCATTTTGGCGGTTTCCCGCGCAGGAGCCGCGGCTCATGCCACAGTGGGAAGAGGGCAAAGAACGAGAACGAAGCAAAGGCGCCATCCGGTCCAAGGGCGTCGGTCATGAGATGTCATCAGAGGTCATGAAACATGGATCAGTACTGATCAGTCACATCAGAGAGAGAGAGAGAGAGTCTTTCTGAGTAGTTGCGTTTGCAGCACTTTGAGACCCGAAACGATTCGATGATTGAATCGTTTTTTGAAAAAGTTACTACTGCCAACCCTATCTTCCCCCTTGCCAGATGATTAGATCATCTCAGCCAGGTATTTTGGACGATTTCTGTCTCTTGGCTTCACATTTTGGGGTGCAACCCTGGTTTGGAAGACCTGCTTCAGAAAGAAAACCATCCGAATTAGCCTGCTTCATTTGAGCTAACTGCTGAGTTGATAAGAACCTTCAGAAATTGATTTGGAACTAGGGATTGTGGGAATCGACGAAATCCATTTGAAATATTACCATGTTTCGGAGAATGAAAAGGCCTTTGCGATGTGAACTCAACAACATGCAATGGTTCGACTCCCGGATTGCTTCAGGTCACAATTTTCTCTCTATTGAGTTTTGCTCTATTCGTTTTGTCATTTCTTATCCAATCTTGCATGTCAATAGCCCACAATGACGCTTGAAATTGTGAATCAGCCAGCAAGTTCAACCCCGGTCACCCCAGGCAGCCAATGCGCAACTGTGGTAGTAGACAAATACATCTATAATATTCTATAATCACCTATAGGCATAGCCTATAGGCCTATGAACAAATGGAACAACCTAACTATGAATCCTCAAATCCTTAACCGCCTTAACCGCCTTAACCGCCTTAACCGCCTTAACCGCCTTAACCGCCTTAACCCTCAATCCACATGTCAACATGCCTAAGCTCGGCCAAGCTCGGCCCCAAACCTTGATGCAGGGTGGCCACGGTTAGGTTCAGTTCGGTTTCCAGTAACCTAACTGCAGCCACCATCGGTTCGGTTACTGTTCGGTTCGGTTCAAACTGGCACGGTTAATTGATTGGGACGGTTTTTGGTGGCCAGGGGCCAATTGAATTGATAGTGGTCATATTTAGGTTGGGTATTTATTTGGTTGTTTTCAAATTTTGCATTTATGGCGCCATACTGTAGGGAAAACTTTTTTTTTTTACAATTTCAACTACGGTTTGGTAAACAACTCCTCCCCCTAATGCAAAGGGCGATGATGTGTATCAATATATATTAATATATATATATATCAATATATATATATATATCAATATATATATATATGTGTGTGTACACATATTTAGACATTTATACATGTAAATATATATATATATATATAAATAAATATACACATACATATTCGGGCATCCATCTATGCAACCAATCTGTTTCAGACCCCAAACAGTGAATTCATGGTGTTTGTGAATCCGCGTGTACTTTTGGATCCTGCGCTCAGAAGCCTCCCAAACGGGATTGAAGCCAACTTGAAGCCAGATGGAGGCTGCGCAAAACATGATGTATTATCCATCCATCCATCCATCACTTAGATCTACGGTGTGGTTAAACAACATCTCCCCCTAATTCAAAAGGGGGTGATATGTATTTACATCGCGATATATGTATATATATATACATATTTAAATATAATTATATATATATATTTATATATTTATATATTTATATATATATTTATATATATATATATTTATATATATATATATATATGTATTTATTTATTTATTTTTTATTTACATATAGATAGAGATATGATATAGATATGAATATTTTTGTATACGTATATTAAAAAATATATACACATTTACATTCGGCCATCCATCAATGCCGCAGACTTACACAGGCTTTTCCAAATTATTGCTTCTTACGTCATGGCGCAAAGGTACTAGATAGATAATATGGTGGATGTTTATACATTCGGGGCCATGATGCTTGTGGCCTATCTCGTGGAAGCCCTTTGATTTCCGGGGCAGACCTTTTCGAACGGTCAGTTTTCTTGTAGGGTAGCTCCTCTTTGCCTCCTGGGGTTGGACGTTCGCATGTGGGCATGAATTGTCGTTGCCACATTGTTTCAGACCTGTTTCAGACCCCCAAAAATGAATGCAGTAGTGCTGGTGAATCCGCGTGTGCTTTTGGATCCTGCCCTCAGAAGCCAGAAAAAACGGGCTTGAAGCCAAATTGAAGCCAGATTGACACTGTAGAAGACATGTGGGAGGGATGATGTGTCTCTACACCGATCTACCGATCCATCTATCTATCTATCTATCTGTCTTTCTGTTTCAATATAGATTGATAGATAGATATATATATATTTAAACCAAAAACTTTGTATATATATAATATATTCTTACTTCTTATATCTTTATTTCAAACTAAATCTAGATATAGTAATAGATATAGATATAAAAATGTTTTATCAAGTTGATAATATTCGGCCATCCATTACTGTGCAACCAAGCAATTCCGTGAGAATTTCGAATTCAGTGCCTTTTGGGACGCAATTCGGAACGCTGAATTGCGGCCGCAATGGCACCGAATTACACAGGCTTTTGCAAATTATCTAACCTTTATGTCATGGCACAAAGGTACTAGAAAGATGATTTGGTGGATGTGTGCGCTACGACATGGTTCGGGGCCATCATGCTTCTAGCTCATCTCGTGGAAGCCTTTGGATTTCCGGGGCGTTCCGGGGCACTCCTGTCCAATATACAGGTGGCCCTATTTTCCTGTTGGGTTGCTTGTCTTTGCCTCCTGCGGTTGGAGGTTCGCATAGCATGGGTCGTTGGTCGGCCGCGTCGGCATGACTTGTTGCTGCCATATTGTTTCAGACCTGTTTCAGACCCCTTCAAACAGGAATTCATGCATGGTGCTGGTCCATACGACGTGGATGTTGGCGATACGACGGAGGATGATATTTGGTCTGAGACATGACAGTCTACATGGCATTATTCTTCTCATTCTTCTTCTTCTTCTTCTTCATGCAATTCCACCATAGCATCTTTCTAGTACAACCATGACATAAAAGGTGGATAATTTGTAAAAGCTTCTGTAATTCGGTGCCATTGCGGCCGCAATTCAGCGTTCCGAATTGCTTTCCAAAAGGCGCTGAATTCGAAATGCTGACCGAGTTGATTGGTTGCACGGTAGTGGATGAATATATTTAAACTGAAAAATATTGAAAAACATTTATATATATTTATTTTAAATAAATATGTAAAATGAAAACATATATTGATTGAGACAGATAGATAGATAAATAGATCGATAGATAGATAGATAGGTTGATTGGTGTAGATACACATCATCCCGCCCCCATGTCTTCTACAGCGTCAAGCCCGTTGGGAGGCTTCTGAGGGCAGGACCCAAGAGCACACGCGGATACACCAACACCATGCATTGATTTTCGCGGGCCTGAAACAGGTCTGAAACAGGTCTGAAACAATGTGGCAACGACAATTCAAAGAGGAGCTACCCTACAAGAAAACTGACCGTTCGAAAAGGTCTGCCCCCGGAAATCAAAGGGCTTCCACAAGATAGGCCAGAAGCTTGATGGGCCCCAATGTATGCGGTAGCGCAAACATCCTGGTCCTGCATATCATCTTTCTAGTACCTTTGTGCCATGACACAACGGGTGGATAATTTGTAAAAGCTTGTGTAATTCGGTGCCATTGCGGCCGCAATTCAGAGTTCCGAATTGCTTCCCAAAAGGCACTGAATTCGAAATGCTGACCGAGTTGATTGGTTGCACGGTAGTGGATGGCCGAATATATTTACATATGGCCGATGAAAACATCACGGGAGCACATCATGTAAAAAGTGTCTATGTTGCCTTGCCAATGCATGTGTGCAGCAACTGTGGGATTACGAGCTACAAGTATTCATTGTGAATGTCGGCGCGCGTCAATGGGGTTTCGAATTTATAGGACCAGAGTGCTATGCCAGGTTTCATTCGGACCGGTTGAAGATCCAAGCCATATCCTATCTCCCTTGGTCGCCTCAGCCCTTGGATTTCCGGGGTATGTGGAAGGTTCAGGGGATGTTTTTGACTAGATGGCGATGCCGCCTTGCCAATGGCAGTAGTAATTCTAGTAGTAATTCTAGTAGTAATTCTAGTAGTAGGAGGAGGAGTAGTAGTAGTAGTAGCTCTGGTGGTAGCAGTAGTAGTAGTGGTGGTAGTAGTAGTAGTAGTAGTAGTGGTGTAGTAGTAGTAGTAGTAGTAGTAGTAGTAGTAGCAGTAGCAGTAGCAGTAGCAGCAGCAGCAGCAGCAGCAGTACTAGTAGTAGTAGTAGTGCTAGTAGTACTAGTAGTAGTAGTAGTAGTAGTAGTAGTAGTAGCGCAAACATCCTGCATATCATCTTTCTAGTACCACCGTGGCATAAAAGGTGGATAATTTGTAAAAGCTTGTGTAATTCGGTGCCATTGCGGCCGCAATTCAGCGTTCCGAATTGCTTCCCAAAAGGCACTGAATTCGAAATGCTGACCGAGTTGATTGGTTGCACGTTAGTGGATGGCCGAATATATTTAAACTGAAAAATATTGAAAAACAGTTTTATTTATTTATCTTTAAATAAATATGCAAAATGAAAAAATTGAGACAGATAGATAGATAGATAGATAGATGCATAGATAGATAGATAGATAGGTTGATAGGTGTAGATACACATCATCCAGCCCCCATGTCTTCTACAGCGTCAAGCCCGTTGGGATGCTTCTGAGGGCAGGACCCAAGAGCACACGCGGATACACCAACACCATGCATTGATTTTTGCGGGTCTGAAACAGGTCTGAAACAGGTCTGAAACAATGTGGCAACGACTGTAGTAGTAGTAGTAGTAGTAGTAGAAGTAGTAGTAGTAGTAGCAGTAGTAGAAGAGTAGTAGAAGAGTAGTAGAAGAGTAGTAGAAGAGTAGTAGAAGAGTAGTAGAAGAGTAGTAGAAGAGTAGTAGAAGAGTAGTAGAAGAGTAGTAGTAGTAGTAGTAGTAGTAGTACTAGTACTAGTACTAGTAGTAGTAGTAGTAGTAGCAGTAGTAGTAGTAGTAGTGGTAGTAATAGTAGTAGTAGTAGTCGTCGTAGTCGTAGTCGTAGTCGTAGTCGTAGTGGTAGTGGTAGTGGTAGTGGTAGTGGTAGTGGTGGTGGTGATAGTAGTAGTAGTAGTAGTAGTAGTAGTAGTAGTAATAGTAGTAGTAGTAGTAGCAGCAGCAGCAGCAGTGGTAGCAGTCAGGATGCTATCTTTCTTTGCAAGTCGAAACGATAGGAAGAAAGCAACCATCTAACTATAAAGGGCAAGGGGGGGAAGACTGAGACGGTTATGTTGTTTTAGACTTGTTTCAGAGCTGTTTCAGACCTGTTTCAGACACCTTTCGATGCCGGTGGACAATTGCTGCGACAAAAAGGGACAAGGAGCATTAGATGTAACGAGTACGCATGATGGAAGAGAAATGCAGACATATTGAATTTGGTCATTGTAATTCACATTCTGCGTGTAGAAAAAATATTGGAATGTATTTAAAGCAACGCAAAGCTAGTAGTAACTAGTATTCATCATCTTGGTAGCAGTACCAGTGCAATGAGTAGGCGTTGCCGCAGCAGCAGCAGCAGCAGTAGCAGTAGCAGTAGCAGTAGTAGTAGTAGTTGTTGTTGTTGTTGGTGTTGTTGTAGTAGTAGTAGTAGCTCTGGTGGTAGCAGTAGTAGTAGTGGTAGTAGAAGTAGAAGTTGTACTAGTAGTAGTAGTAGTAGTAGAAGTAGTAGTAGTAGTAGCAGCTCTGGTGGTAGCAGAAGAAGTAGTAGTAGTAGTAGCAGCATTAGTAGCAGCATTAGTAGCACTAGTAGTAGTAGTAGTAGTAGTAGTAGTAGTAGCACTAGTAGTAGTAGTAGTAGTAGTAGCAGTAGTAGTAGTGTTGCTATTAAACATGTAACCTGCCTAACCGGTTCGGTTAGAGGAATTAGCTTCGGTTCGGTTTTTTCACGGTTCGGTTCGTGTTCGGTTCGGTTAAACCGCGGCCGGTTATTTGAGTTCCGGTTCGGGTCCACGGCCTTCCTGTTGATGGTTTTTCAAGTCAACGGCATGGATTGAACGATATTGAACAAGCAGATGAAATCCATGAAATATTAAGGTTATTAAAAGTTATTAAAAGATGGAATGGCGGTTGCAGAGACAAGAAGACATAAGAAGACATAAAAAAGACATAGACCCAATGTGTTCAAACTGTTCATGTCATTTGCAGGTCAAGCGAAGATTGGTCCCTCTTTGTGGATGGATTTGAGACTGTCAATTACTGTCAATGTTGCTTCCATATGGCCCAACATGGCCCAACCCCAAAGTGTGGAATTTGATGTGAGGATGCCGTGTGCTCTGTGATCCGTGGTGACCGTCGCGCCAGTTTCACCGAATCCACATCTAAGATGTGGCCGAATGCGCAAGGCGACGTGGATAAAACGGATATCCGGCGATTGGGGTCGTCCCGCAGCAATTAGGAATCACCAGAGATCACCAGAGACAACATCACAGGGAGTCACACCACACGGTCTCTTCCAGTGTGGAGAACCGTGTTGATTGCCCATTTTCTGTCGTTTTTTCCCCTGTAAGTCACTATGACTCGGTAACCTTCAGGAGCCAAAGGCCAGCATGTTCTGCCCATCGCTGTGGCTCAAGCGTAGCTTTGTTTTATCCGATGCACTGTGTGGCGCAGTGCGGTTGGCCGTGAGCGGGCAGTAGGCACCCTGTCAAGACAACCTGTTGTTTTCACGCTTCCAGCAAGGGTTTTTGAAACGTCCCTTGGTCTTTATGGCGTCACAGAAAAACTCATTGGATTATCTTTAGATCTCATTCGCCTTTTTGCTGACGGCTTCCCCCTGGCTTGAAAGCCAGGTCGCTCGTCACATGTCCTCGTGTTGTACCGCGATCTCCAACTGCGACGGCTTCGTACCACACCCGCAGGGGCGCAGATGTGTGAGATATGTTTGACTTGGTAAAGGTAGTAACAGGTCCGCAGTGATGTTGAGCATGTAATATCCCGCCAAAGTTCCTTTTGGTTTAGGCGCAAGAAACTCAAAGATGGAAGATCTCTCAAAGTTGATCCGGTAAGAGGTAACACAAGGAGCCATGACCATGTTGAAGACTGGCATACATGGCCGCGATTTTGCTACGATCCTTTGGATCATCCTTTCAACAATGTGAGTTCTGGAGTAGGTTTTTCAATTGTTTTCAAAACAGTTACTGAGGGTGAAAACATATTGCAGTTGACATCCCTTGAGCAGATCTCTTTTGAATTGAATGAAGCAGAAACTCCCAAGCGCACTCTTCCTGACTTCACCAGACGACTTAAAAGACTAGCTGATAGATGCTGATAGTATTATCAGAACTAGCAAGTATGAATCAGTATGAACATTATCGACAGCCTGAAGTCGCCATAATCTGAAGTCCACATGATAGCTGCTGAGCTCCAGATTCCACGTGATCGAATTGCACAAGAATCCCCGATTCATATTATGATATAGATTCGTATAGATTCGTAGGAGATTTTCACGGCCGTGTCCGCCTCCCATGAATGGACATGATGCGCGACCTGCGCGACTCATCGACTTGCGAGAATGTCAAAGAATGGATCTGCTTCAGGCAGCCTATGTGGCCTGGCCTATTTGCTTTTGAAGATCTTTGTAGACTGTTGAAGCAATTATTGGATTGGAGATTGATTGTAGATTGATTGGATTGATAGGGTAGTGTTGAGTCATTTGGTGAATGTTTGCACTGTTTGCACTGTTTGCACTGTTTGCACTCATTCCTTTCAGCCCAGGATCGTTTACTCAAGGTCCACTTTCCAGTGCCCGGCGAGTTGGATGAATCTCGGAAAACCCATGACCCGTTTGACCCGTTTAGGCAGACATCAGGCCATCAGACCCAGCCGCATAGGCCATGTCTTGACAGTGTCCAAACATCGAGTTTTTCCAGTGCTTGAAGTTATTTGAAGTTTATGAATCGAGTCCCCAGAATTCAGTAACCAAATCTAGACCAAGTTTGACGCTGAATAGCCACCATCGTAAATAGCCGCAGAGCCAAGCAAGAGATGCTAGATGGTTCACGGCTGTTTCTAATTGAATTCCAAAACTTTGGAGGATTGGCAGTTTTTGTTGAGGCGTGTTTGACCGAATTCCAAGTGAATCCAGAAACTTCAAAGCTAAAATTCTCTCAGGTCAGGTTTGAATACGTGACTAAATACGTTTTATATGCTTTTTATATTTTTATATCATTTTTATGTTCATGAAATTTCATGAAGACCAGGCTCTCGGTACACAGTGCCACTCCTCAGGACCTGGAGACATTGCAGGATGCACTTCAACAGCCTTCCGATGGATTGAATCCCGAAGCTTGGTTCAAACGTTGGTTGGTGAATACTATGTGAATACTAAGTGAATACTATGTGAATACTATGTGAATACTATAGATATTATGAATACCGGTAGTACCGCACAAGGCGGCGGCGGAAGTTTCAAAGATAGAGAACTTTTTTGGAGAGGTGAGTTGTTGTGATGCATGGCAACCATGGCACCTTGGGCCTATTGGATGCAGCAAAAAGATCCATCCATCCACTTTCCATCCCCTTTATATCCAGAACGCTCAGGAGCTGCATGTGTTGCTGCTGAGTGAAACTGCTGAGCCCATGGAGAATCTTATGGGCTGCGCATCCTATGAGTATTTGGGCATATTCGGGCAGCGAGTGTGACTGGGGAACCACAGTAGATATATGTAGATATCTTACCGTACAGACGTTGCATTGGAGTGCTAAAATTGATCTACAATGATGATCTATTTCGATTTTTTTTGGGGTGCACTGGTGACTCGCAAGGTTCCGAGTCACAGGTGTGAAAAGGTCAAGATGGTCAAGATCCCAGGATTTTTCAAGTGGATTCTAAAGGTAAACAACCCAGGCTTGTGCTGAGACTTTATTGGCGTAGCTACAACATATGAGACGAACTGGCCCAAATCTCTTCGATGTTTGGAGCACAAAAATCGGGTCCTGAGATTTCAGGTACTACCCGCGAGGTAATCACTGCCTCATTAGCCCCTTGCTTGCAGAAAGGGGCCCAGTCGGGAGAAAAATCTGTAGTTCTTTTAAGAAAGGTTGTGGACAATTCTGAGAGAAATGGCATGTGTCTTCCCCAAATCATCGCCTGCATGTTGGGTGCTCAGGTTCCGTGAAAAATAGGTGGCTGCCGTGACTATATTCTGTTTATCCCTTGCCCAGGCTACATTTGCGTGGCGGAGCCTTTCCGCCGTCGCGGTGTCTCCAAGCTCTTGATGTCCACTTTGCAGAAGCAAATGGAAGAGCGAGCAGCAAAACCACTGGCGTCATGGCAGAAAGATCACTAGTGTCACTAGTGAGTTTGATGCAGATCTGTCATGATCATTCATGATCCAGGTGATCCAGTCAGTCCATTCCTTGCGATCGGAAAATCAGATGTCAGCAACTCTTTAGTTCAGTCTTTGCACTCCGTGTATCTCAGGCTGCGATTTTTGCGGAGACACATGCTTCCGAGTTTTGGCAGCACATTAGCCAATAGGAAGCGATGACCCTGATTTTTTGGAGAATTCTGGGAGAACCAGGATCGAGACAAGTAGAGACTAGCAGAGATACAAGAAGATCATGAGAAACTCATGAGAAACTCATGAGAAAATCCATCAAGTACTTTTGTTGTTTGAGACTTTTGGATATTTGGGCTGTCCAGCTCTTGTGAATCAGATGGCGCTGCAAAGGATGTGGAGGATGGAATTATGGATCCTCTTGAAAGACAAGAAGTCTTGGCATCCCTGGGTTTTAGATGTCTCTTGACACTGAGCACAAAATCTGCACTGATCTCAACTCTTCTGGCTTTGCTTCGTAATTCGTGGTTTCTTGTGGCTACCAAACGATGTCAAAGCAAGTTCCTGCCAGCAGCCAACAGATTTTGTCGCTTGGATCGTTCGACTTTAAAGACCACATGTTCTTTGGTGATGCATTTCCAAACCGGTGAAAATCCCAGCTGTTCCAACAGATATTTGTTTAGACATACCTTCAGCTTCTGACACATCTCATGTCTCCTGAATCTGAGGTTTAGATTTTGACTATGTGCAGCCTCCACTGAGATGCTCGACTTAAGGATGTGAGGCTTCCCTGGGTGTTTGGCTCGTTGTCCTTTCCAAGTGGCAATCTGTGTACATCTGTGTACAGGTGGTGGTGTAACCACGTTTAGACATAGTATACTATTTCTTGTGGTTATATTACTACGTTATATATCTTAGTTGTAGTACCACGTTATATATGTAAATCTCAACAGCTTTTTGAATATATAGTAATATTATACTGTTGACATTTACATATTATTCCTATATCTTGGCTCAAACCCTCAATTGATGGCAATTCTCAATTGCTAAAGCCATTTATGTACTTTGCCGGAGACAAGACCTTTGATATTAGATTTTGCCGGAGAATCTGGTTTTGATATTAGATTTTGCCGGAGAATCTGGTTTTGATATCAGATTTTGCCGGAGAACCTGGTTTTGACATTAGATTTTGCCGGAGAATCTGGTTTTGATATTAGATTTTGCCGGAGAATCTGGTTTTGATATTAGATTTTGCCGGAGAATCTGGTTTTGATATTAGATTTTGCCGGAGAATCTGGTTTTGATATGAGATTTTGCCGGAGAATCTGGTTTTGATATTAGATTTTGCCGGAGAATCTGGTTTTGATATTAGATTTTGCCGGAGAATCTGGTTTTGATATTAGATTTTGCCGGAGAATCTTGTTTTGATATTAGATTTTGCCGGAGAACCTGGTTTTGATATTAGATTTTGCCGGAGAATCTGGTTTTGTTGTTCTAGATTTTATTAGAGTTTTGACTTTTGCGGAGAATCTGGTTTTGATATTAGATTTTGCCGGAGAATCTGGTTTTGATATTAGATTTTGCCGGAGAATCTGGTTTTGATATTAGATTTTGCCGGAGAATCTGGTTTTGATATTAGATTTTGCCGGAGAATCTGGTTTTGATATTAGATTTTGCCGGAGAATCTGGTTTTGATAGTAGATTTTGCCGGAGAATCTTGTTTTGATATTAGATTTAGCCGGAGACATGACTTTTGCTATTAGATTTTGCCGGAGAATCTGGTTTTGATATTAGATTTTGCCGGAGAATTTGGTTTTGATATTAGATTTTGCCGGAGAATCTGGTTTTGATATTAGATTTTGCCGGAGAATCTGGTTTTGATATTAGATTTTGCCGGAGAATCTGGTTTTGATATTAGATTTTGCCGGAGAATCTGGTTTTGATGTTAGATTTTGCCGGAGAATCTGGTTTTGACGGAGAATCTGGTTTTGATATTAGATTTTGCCGGAGAATCTGGTTTTGATGTTAGATTTTGCCGGAGAATCTGGTTTTGATATTAGATTTTGCCGGAGAATCTGGTTTTGATATTAGATTTTGCCGGAGGATCTGGTTTTGATGTTAGATTTTGCCGGAGAATCTGGTTTTGATATTAGATTTTGCCGGCGAAGTGCCGAGCCCTCTGGTGAGACAACTGTTGGTAAGGTGTTCACTGGGGATAGTGAAGATGCGCTGGAATACAAGCGTTGGAAAACCTAGGTGTTGAACAAATTGTTGACGCTGGATTCAAAGGTTTCTGTGTGTAAAAGCTGCTCTGGGTAAAAGCGTCTGTGAAAAGAGCGTTTGTGGGAAAGGTCCTCTGTGTAAGGGCTTCCCTGCGTAAGCTTCTATGTGTAAAAGCTCCTCCTGTACGAAGGCTTCTCTGTGTAAAAGTTTCTGTGTTGCGAAAGCTGCCCTGTGCAAAAGCTTCTGGGTGTAAAGGCTTCTCTGTGTAAATGGATCTGTGTGTAAAAGCTGCTCTCTGCAAAAGCTTCCCTGTGTAAAAGCTTCTGCGTGTAAAAGCGTTTGTTTGTAAAAGCGTCTGTGTGTGAAGGTTTTCTGTATAAAAGCTTCTGTGTGTAAAAGCTTCTCTGTGTGTAAAGGCTGCTCTGTGTATAAAAGCGTTTGTGTGTAAAAGTTGCTCTGTGTGTAAAAGCTGCTGTGTCTAAAGGCTTCTCTGTGTAAAAGCTGCCCTGCGTAAAAGCTTCTGTGTGTAAAGGCTTGTCTGTGTAAAAGCATCTGTGTGGAAAGCGCCTTTGTGTGAAACCTGCTCTCTGCAAAGGCTTCCCTGCGTAAAAGCTTCTGTGTGTAGAGGCTTCTCTGTGTAAATGCTTCTGTGTGTAAAAGCTGCCCTGTGCAAAGGCTTCCCTGTGTAGAACCCAATGTGTGTAAAAGCGTCTCTGTGTAAAGGGTTCTCTGTGTGAAAGCCTCACTGTGTGTAAAAGCTGAACTGTGTGTAAAAATGTCTGTGTGTAAAAAGCGTCTGTGTGTAAAAGCTTCTCTGTGTAAAAGCTTTTATATGTCAAAGGCTTCTGTGTACAAGCTGGCCTGTCTAACAGCTTCCGTGTGTAGAGGCCTGTTTGTGTAAATGCTCCTGTGCATAAAAGCTGCTTGTAAAGGCTTCTCTGTATACAATTTTGTTTGTGTAAAAAATGTGCTGTGTGCAAAAGCTGCTCTGTGTAAAGCTTTTCTGCGTAAAAAGCTTCTGTGTACAAGCTGGCCTGTCTAACAGCTTCTGTGTGTAGAGGCTTCTCTGTGTAAATGCTTCTGTGCGTAAAAGCTGCTCTGTAAAGGCTTGTCTGTATAGAAACTTCTGTGTGTAAAAGGTGCTTTGTGTAAAAGCTGCTCTGTGTAACGCGTCCCTGCGTAAAGGCTTCTCTGTGTAGAGGCTGTCTTTCTGTCTGTCTATCTATCTACCCAGCTATCTATCTATTTTTTATCCACCTGCCTCTTCCCCATCCAATCATCATCTGCTCGGACCATCCCAAGTCATCACCTTCGTCTCAGAACAATTGGAAGGCTTAACATGCGGGGCTATCTGGTCCTTTAATTTTTGCTGTCCTTTCTTGAAACATGGTAGGGAAACGCAAGCTTCCATGGGTGCGTCTTGCCATCGGCAGGTTTCGCACCGGGAGCGTGAGGTGGCCAGGGGACTGCGGCGACTCCGCAGACGGGTTGACAGGTTTGGCCAGAAGCCTCAAGTTTGATGCGTCAAATTCCACCTCCAATTTGTGGAGGGGACATCTCATGCAGTGTGAAAGTTGTTCCTTCCTTTGGCCCTGCTGGTTCTTTGGCTGGTGCGGTAGCTGCTTCTGTAAGTTCGGCTGGCGCCGCTGGCTGCTCAGCAGCAAGCAACTTCTTCCTTTGTTGTGGCTGGCTCCTCACCACTGAAAAAATATTTGGAAATTCTTTATAATATAGAATGGGCTAGCGCCCTGGTGCCGCCGACCCCCCCTATTTGGGGGGTCCTGTAGAGAGATAGATAGATAGATGGATAGATAGATTGATAGGTAGATGGGTCGATAGCTAGATACACAGTTAGATAGACAGGCGAGATAGATAGATAGATTAGATTAGATTAGATTATATAGATTAGATTAGATTAGATAGATAGATATAGATTAGATAGATATAGATTAGATTAGATAGATATTAGATATAGATTAGATTAGATTAGATAGATATAGATTAGATTAGAGTAGATTAGATTAGATAGATATAGATTAGATTAGATTAGATTAGATAGATATAGATTAGATTAGATTAGATAGATATAGATTAGATTAGATAGATATAGATTAGAGTAGATAGATATAGATTAGATTAGATTAGATTAGATAGATATAGATTAGATTAGATTAGATTAGATTTCATTGGATAGATATAGATTAGATAGATATAGATTAGATTAGATTAGATAGATATAGATTAGATTAGATTAGATAGATATAGATTAGATTAGATTAGATAGATATAGATTAGATTAGATTAGATAGATATAGATTAGATTAGATAGATTAGATTAGATTAAATTAGATTAGATTAGATTAGATAGATATAGATTAGATTAGATAGATATAGATTAGATTAGATAGATATAGATTAGATTAGATTAGATTAGATAAATATAGATTAGATTAGATTAGATTAGATTAGATAAATATAGATTAGATTAGATTAGATAAATTTAGATTAGATTAGATTAGATAGATATAGATTAGATTAGATTAGATAGATATAGATTAGATTAGATTAGATAGATATAGATTAGATTAGATTAGATATAGATATAGATTAGATTAGATTAGATAGATATAGATTAGATTAGATTAGATTGGATTGGATTAGATTAGATAGATTAGATTAGATTAGCTTAGATTAGATTAGATAGATATAGATTAGATTAGATTAGATTAGATAGATATAGATTAGATTAGATTAGATAGATATAGATTAGTTTAGATTAGATTAGA